GGAGTCTCCTAGGTGGCAGGAAATGTTCTACATCTTGATCCAAATGCCAAGTTGCTGGATGTTTATACTTATGTTAAAAATCATCAGGTGTATACTTAAAATGCATACATTTTGCTGTGTGTATGTTATAGCTTTAACAAAAATATTTTAATAGTCAGTAGAATTTTATAAAGTAAAAATTCAGTAATGGAGGGGCGGAGGGTAGAGCTCAGTGGTAGAGCACATGTGTAGCATGCACAAGGTCCTGGGTTCAATCCCCAGTACCTCCATTAAAAAAAAAATAATAAGCCTGATTACCTCCACCCCCCCCCAAAAAAACCCTCAATGATTCTATAACATTTTGAGTAAGTTAGATATGAATCATTGCTAGAAAGTTTGATTCTACTGGAGAGGAGAGTCTGTGTAGCGAGGTGGTGGGAACAGTTGCTGAGGGACAGAGAATCAGTGGCCTTGGACTCACTGGTTTTCTTAATCTATCAGCAGTTAAATTATTCTTTTATTTTAAAAATAGATTAAGTGAATGACAACTACTTATATTAACCCAATTCTCTATTATTTTTAAAATACTCTGGATCAGGCCAATGCAGCTATTGAGGCCAAAAGACTTGTACACCAGAAAAAAAAAAGGTTTCAGAGAATTATTAACAGAGCAGCTATTCCCAGAAGAATGTGAGCTAGCCAAATAATGATTTTTGAGTGCTTGTAAAATACCTTTGTTTCATGCAATTTCATAAAGCTGAGTTAAGCACCTTACAGAATGATAGAAAAGTGAACTCATCCATTTAATGGCATCTGGATCAGCTGGAACATCTGGGTTGGATGTTTAAAATAAATTTGAAACCAAAAAATGTTTTGTTTTTATTCCAATCCTGTTTCATTTATTACATTGGGAAAAGAGCTTAGGCAGCAACATCTGTTTCCATGAAAACTGGAGAGGAGAGCGTATAGACAACACATATAATCATAAACAGACAAGTCAGGGGACAAAGACGCTGCTGCTAGAAAAAGAAAATGACATGAAGCAGTAAAACCTAGAGGGCTCTCCAAGCAAGAAGATTTGCTTTTACGAATCAGAGCAGGCAAGAAAATACTCTGTAAAGAATGAGAATGGCATACAGTAGATCTCCAGAACTGATTCATCTTGTGTTTGTCTTCTTTGACTGACACCTCCCAATTACCCCATCCTCCCAGTCTTGGGAACCACTCTGCTACTTTCTGGTTTTATGAGTTTGACTACTTTAAATTCCTCATAAAACTAGGATTATGCAATAAGCCATAATATATTGTCTACTTAAAAATTTGCTAAGAACATTATATTAAATGCTTTTACAGCAAAAATAAATAAATAAATGAGGCAGAAGGAAACTTTTGGAGATGATGGGTAAGTATAAGGGCTTAATTGTGGTGATGGTCACATAGGTGTATACTTGTCTCTAATCATCAAGTCGTATATATTAAATATGTATTGCTTTTTACATGTCAGTCATACCTCAATAAAATGGCTTTAAAAAATAGAATGATAACGGATATGCAAAAGGAAAAATAGTCCTTCAGTTTTACATGGCAGTAAGTAGTCAAGATTTAGTATGGAGTCATCAAAATCCTTAAAAGATCTCTGGAGTACAATTATAAATTACTGTCTTAGATTCAATATAAAGAGCATATAAATACTTTAAACAACAAATTCTTTTAATGTTTTAATGTTACAACTACTAGCTACAGAAGAGAATTTGATATAAGGATCTCATTTCTAATTGTGCTAAAAGCCGTGAAGCCTGGAGTTCCATGGATATGCAGCAGTTCCATTAAGCAGCTCATCAGTGGAGTCAAGGATTCAACTCTTTCCATCTTTCCAATATGCCATCTTCAGCTCATCTGTTGGGTACTTACATTGGCCCTCATGGTTGCCAGGTGGCTGCTATAATCCAAGACATATAGACACAAATGTGGCTGAAAAAAATAGGAGTACTTTCTACTATGCATCATTTTTTGTTGTTGAGGAAGAAAATCTTTCCTTGCAAGATTCCCAGCAGGTTCCTCCTCAGTCCTCTTGACTAGAATGAGGCTACATGCCCAACTTCTTTACAAGAGAAGGATGGACGAGCAGGAAGAGAAGAATCTGATCTTATCTGCCTTCCTAGTAGGAGGAAAACTCTGTTATTGAGGGAAAGATTTGAGAAGGGAAAATAACTGTTGGGTATATGACAGCTACCCTCTCACTGTAAACATTTGAAGAGTAGGGTAAGTGAGATAATATAGAGGAATTGATGGGCATAGATCTGATCTTACAGAATTTATTAGAATCCTCACTCTGTATCACGGACTGGTTCTGTAAACCTAGGCTAGCCATTCTGATCCTTCATTTGTTAATACATAAAAAGAATAAATAATGTATATGTTGTAAAATTGCTAGAAGATTTAGAGATAAAGAATATACAAACTTTGTGTGGTGTCTGATTCATGAAACACAATAAATGATACTTATTATTACATTAAATCAACCCTGTTAGCACATGACCATTACTAACAGGATAGGGTTTCTGTCCAATTATACATTTAAATACTTTCTTATTCTTTGTAGGTTCATCTTCACATTCTTTTATTTCTTCATTTCCAGGGCTAATGTTTTGACTGATTAACAGGCATTAAAAAATTAAATTGTTTGGTGGTATAGAAAAATGTCTATAAAGTAAGATCAGTTAACAGGATTAAAATCAAAAAGTGTTCAAACATTAGTGCTAGAAATTCAAAACCTCATTGTACTAAGAGAAGACCTAATACAAAGTAGGCATTTAATAACTGCAAGTGAATGAATAAAGCCTGGTGAGGTAAAGTGAGTTTCCTATGTGAAATGTTATTGGTTGACTTCTTGTGTGTACATGGTGGCATTAATTCAAAATTCTTCCCTTTTGCTCCTGGAAATCACGTTAGAGCTTCAAATCACTTTAAAAAAAAATAAAACCGGGAGAAAATAAATTTTCCAGACTCTGAAGTAGAGGCAAAGGCTGCTGAAAATAGCTGAGGTCAAGCAGAGAAATCAAGAATTCTAAGGAATGAAGTGGAGGGAAGATACACCCAAAGATAATTTAATAGGCAAGAAAACTCACTAGCTTGAGATATCAGCAGGACTAGAAAGCTATATTTCTTAGAAGTAAAGGACATCCACTGAAGTGCAGTAGCTGTTGACAGGAGCATTCCTGACATCTTTTTGGTTTCGAGGACCAGTGGAGGCAGAGGAAAGTGGGACATTCACACAGGCAGCCATGTTTTCAGGAAGCAATCTGCCTCTGAGACAGGAAGGAAGAAGAGCCTTTATACCAATTAGTGTGGCTTTCTCCATTGTCCGAGGAGCCTAACTTATGCCAGTGTTGATGAATGAGTATAAGCAAAATATGGCACGTTAATACATTGTAATATTATGTGGTCTGGGAAGGAATGAAGTATGATTCATGCTCCAATATGGCTGAACCTTGAAAACAGTGTACTAAATGAAAGAAGCCGGACACAAAAAGCCACACACTATATGATTCCATTGATACGAAATGTCCAGAATAGGCAAATCCAAAGAAATAAAAGGTAGATGAGAGGCTGTCTGTGGCTGGAGCAGTGGGGAGGGAGGACTTGGGGAATGACAGTGAATTATGTGTTCTTTTTGCAGTGATATAAATGTTCTAAAATTTAATTGTGATGATTACACAACTCTGTAAATATACCCATTTAAGTGACCTATACACTTAAATGGGTAAATTTCATGTTATGTGAAATGTATCTCAGTACAGATGTGAAGAGAGGGAGGTTTTTATTTAGTAGGTATAGCTGCTTCAACAGCCTTTCCTCACCCCATCTCTTCCCAGTCTCCTTGCATTGAGTCAAGGGTAAGGGTGCGATTAGACCCTCTGTTGAGAACTTAGATCAAGAGGAGGAAAGCCTTGGAAGTTATCAAATGTGTTATGTTGCTGTGTCCAAAAATGGTGTTATTTCTGTGGCTGTCTTTGGGAATATAGTTGACCCTTGAACAACACAGTTTTGAACTGCAAGAGTCCACTTATACATAGATTTCTTTTTCAATAAATACATATACATGCTGTAAATGTATTTTCTCTTCATTACAATTTTCTTAATAACATTTTCTTTTCTGTAGCTCACTGTGTTGTAACAATACAGTATATAATACATATACAAAATATGTATTGATCAATTGTTTATGTTATCGGTAACATTTTTGGTCAACAGTGAGCTATTAGCAGCTAAGTTTTGGGAAAGGCAAAAGTTCTACATGGATTTTTGATTGCACAGGGATAGACCCTCCTAACCCCCTTGTTGTTCAAGGGTGGACTGTACTTTTATTAAATGTGCTAAGCTTATGCCTGTTTTTAGTTATGAATCTAGCAAACCTGTCTCACTGTGGCGTCGATGATTCAAATCCACACCCATAGTAGTGTGCATATGTTGCAGACCAATGTGCAGGCTCATGTGCCTCTCCACCCCCACCTAATTCCCGTGACTTCATTCCCAGGAGGACCATGTTGTTTAGTATCGGGCACCATGTCTGACCAGGGTTGGCTGATGTCATCGGGACGCCTTCCTGTAGATCTTGATCATAGAGCTTGTTTCTGGACTTCCTCTTACTGCTTATGGGTCTCAGTGAGACTGTTTTGAACATGAAATGACCAGAGAGGTTTTTCTCCCCTAGATAACCTCCAGTATGATGTCAAGTCCTACTCAGAAACATAGCTTCTCTGGGAATGCCTCTTTGATGAAGGACTTGCCCTGAGATCGGTCCTCCTGGGCACCTTCATATCGTTGGTTCTCCATGTCCCATAACTCATGTGCTTATGAGCTGGGTCTAGACTGGTGACTTCTACAAAGCAGTATAGAGTATGTCAAATATCCTTTGAGCTTGTCATTTCACTGTGCCCAGTTAGCACAACTCTCCTGCTGGTTTCTCACTTTTGCTCCTTGTTTCCTTAATCCTGTACAATAGGATTGAAAATGTATGCCTTGGAGTACAGGTATGTCTGATGATGCAGCAGCTAAAATATCGATCCTGGGGCGGCAGAACTCCAGCCAGTGTTCACAGCGTTCATAGCTGCGAAATGTTGGAGTGAAAGCATCAGAGTCTCTCTCCTGAAAGTTCCCAGACACCAGTCTTTCTCAAAAATGAGGTTTGGATGCAAAGAAAAAATGAAAACAAGGTTTGTTTTTGGTTTTTTGGTTTTTTAAAGCTGTTTCTACTAGAATAAGACAGATAGCTTTGGAAGAAGTACTCTTTGGGCAATTAGAGTGAGTAATATTAGAGTCATAAAGACAAAGAAGAGCTAAATTCAGGACCTTGTGTCCAAATCATGCTGATTGTTTAGACCGCCAACGCTTTTATGTTCTTTCCTGGGGTGTCTGATAATCTGCATGGCCCAGACTTATGGCTGTGGGGTATGCATCTAGCCCCTACCCAAGTTGTATTACCAAGTTTTCCAGGAAAGGGAAGGGAAGTCTGGAAAAGCAGATATTTGAACAATTAGCTCATTGATGATTTTTATTATATTTGTCTTTTCCAAAGTCCTCTGCACAGGCTTGTTTTACAGACCTAGTATTGAGTGCTTTATCAGATGCTCTGTGAGCCGGACATCGATGATATTTCTGCCCTTGAGGGATGGTTTTAATCAAGTTTTTTCCTGCTAGCCATCTAATATCAATTTAAAATTTCCCAGTGCTCCAAGAATAAAAGCAGGAGTCATCATTAAGATTTTTAAGAGGCGTCTTAGCCAAGCTGCTTATAAATGAAACCCAGATCCTTTCTCTAAAGCGTTCTCTCCCTACCCCTCGCCCCTCAAGGAGAGGCTGGCTTTTTACTGCAGTTTTATCCATTGATAGGGTTAGCGTTAATTTCTTCAATGCCAGATATTGCCAAGCTTGGAGTATCTTCCTTGCTTCCTTCTCTGTGCTGAGTCCCTATGGGAATCTAGGGTAGCATGGGGCAGACAGATGCAGTGGGCAGACTGGCATCCCCTGGGTGACAAGCGGTGCTCTTCCTGTTTGTGCCTCAGACATCTAATGTTTTCCCTTGTTAACGAGGTGGGCCCCCAACTCCTCCACTATGGTTTTGTTTCTGTGCATTTTCTAACTGTCAAGGGTATTCATGAGATAAAAGGAAAAAAGAGATTAAGATGCTTATGAGGCAGACTGGAGAGAACACAGCTCCCTGCAGTATGGCTTTGATCCAGACACCAGGTGGTCCCTTGTTGGAACCACTGGCTATCTTGTCTGAATAAATTTTCAAATGCTGTAAGTGACTTTTTGTTAGTAGAAGCAAAGAAGCACACGAATCAAAATTTTCAGATTGGAACACAAAAGACACCGAAAACAAAATGATTCATAGCAGTTCACAATAACAGGGGGAGCCAAAGTATACCAGAAAAATGCTAACACACAGAATGTGTGTCTGTGATGCAACAGCAGCAAGGTGGAAATACGGCACAAAATATTGAACTACACAACGAAGAGCAGAATGCACTTCACACCAAATATATTATGAACCCTTATGAACCAAACGATATAACAACAAATCATAAAAGAAACAAGACACAAGCAGGAATATCCAGAAACACTGGAGATAGGCAATTGCGACGCATCTCACCAGACCGTGATGGATTCAATGATCCAAAAATTAGTAGAGACCTAGAAGTGCTATATAATGCTAGCAGTTTCTTCATGTTTTCTCCAAATACTTTAATAAAATTAACTACATGCTTGTCCTGAGGCACATGTCATACAGGAAAGACAGGATAGACACCTAACTTTGTTGTTGTTCTGGGATTTACCAGTTTGCAAAATATTGGGTTGTTTACCCAGCATCTTCCAAAGGTGATTGATCCAATGGTTTTTACTTATTATCAATTCATGGCTTTAAATCTACTTGATGTATTTCAATCCATTAAAGAGATTATTCATACTGATGCTCAAATTGTCCCATCTTTGTTCACTGGGAGCATTTTCAAGTTGATTCCTGAGTTCTTTGATATGACAACAAGAATCTTTAATAGCTTCTTCAATTTCTTATATGACAGAAAGACTCAGCCTTATTTAATCACTTCTTGCCTTAGGCTGGGACTCAGTCATTTCTTCAAGGAGAACTGGTTCCTTTGGAAATAGGTTTTAGGGATAATAATCTGTTCTAGGAGGGCTTGATGTTTCTGGACCTTTTCAGTGGTCAAAATTATATATATGCAAATATAATAAAATTATATATTTATACATTTTAAATAAATCATGAGTTCACATTGGAATTTCAAGTTCCAGTTTACAGGTAGAGAGATCTCATTTTAGATTTTTCTGTTTCACATTTTTAAATGCTTTTTCCCCACACCTAAAATCCTATTTTCTAACATCAATGTAATTACCCATTTCATATACACGTAGCAGTCTCAATACCAACAATACCAGCACTGCCACCAAAGATATGATTACTGAAAAGAGTTTATGATGTTTTTTGTTCTTTTTGTCCTTACAGTACATCCACTAGTGATGTACAGTCAAATTAAGGAATTTTAGAGCCATTTGAAATAATTCCACTTTTGTATGGTTATGCCAGCTTCACATATTATTGTGTTCCTTTGTTTCATTTTGCTTTTTTTGCTTTCAGTTTGTAGGGATGGCTTTTTAAAGTTTTTATTTTGCTTTATAATTATGTAACATATTTACATAGTTTCAAAGTTAAATACACAAAATGTGATATATATGTAAAACATTTTTGTGTATCATGATTTCTTATATATTTTCTAGAAGTTTAGTTTTGATCTTGATTTTCAAGGACTCTCAGTGGTTCTATGAGTTACTGAATCTCTAATAAACTGGTTCTTTTTGCTTCATCTGCTATAATTGGCTTTTGCTACTTGCAACTAAGAAACTTAACTGATATAGCAGGAATACCCCTTGGTTGGCAACTAACTCCATTTGCGGATTGATTTATACTTCCCTGAGACTAGCTTTGCATGAATGAAATCTTAATGTGTCAACTTGAGAGTTATTAAAGTGTCTATTACACATTTACCACCCTTTTACCTTGTCCAAGTGATTTGCCACGAAACAGAAAAAAAAAAAAAGTTTCAGGGCAACACTTGAACTCCACTTCTAGACATGGGAGAAGCTGGCATAAATTTTAAGTATCCACCTCAGTTGCCACTTCGTATCATTTCTGCCTCACCCTGTTATGTACAGTTTGACACATGTTTCAAGAGGTTCATTATATTCCCTGAGGCCCATTCATGGGTCTGTTCCAAAGAAAAGTTGAGAAGTTCGTATTCTCAAGAGTCTCCACTTAATTGTGTTGTGGCCACTGAGGTGCTCTTGGGGAGCACTTCCCTTGACTAGGTTATAAAACACACAAGGCAGTGGTGCACATCCTCCTCGCAGAACACAGTGACTCCTGATCTAAATGGAAAATCGCTTCCTCTCTTTGAGTTCTGTGTCAGTGTGAATTGAGATGTTATCACAGAGAAGTTGTGAAAGGGAGCGCTTCCTCTTAACTACACTCAAGTACACACAGTGCACTGAAAAAGTGAGAGGTTTGGACACTATGAATCGGATCTGGTGGTGAAATGTAGAGATGTCAAATCAAAATAGCATCACTTGCTCCCTTTCCATGCTGAGTCCTAAGAGTCTCCAGACATTTCTGATCATGGTGTGTGTTTTCTCCTCATACTTTGGCAGCAGAAACACCTCTTAACTACCTTTCAGATTAGTTTAGCACCTGCCGCACAAGTTTTAGTTTTTTGTTTTTTGTTTTTTTCGTTTTGTTTTGTTTTGTTTTTGAAGATAGCTATGCCTTAGGCTGTAATTTCCATTGTTCTGTAGAACATTTTCCTATGGGCATTCATAGGCATGTACCCTAAATATGCCAGATTCAAATGAATTTTGGAACTTCTACAGAGAGTTCACCCTGTATGGGAATTCATGTCTCCGTGAGCATATCGGGGCATTTCAGGCACAATGCTACTTTCCAAGTATGTGCGCTAACATTCTTCATAGCTGTGATCTCCTAGAATGTGGCTTGGAAGTAAAAACAGCGAAATTTACTCAGGGCTCACTAGGTGTCAGACACAGTTCTATAGTTTAGTTCTACACAGCTCTACAGCACCGTTCAGTTAATCACAACAATCCTATAAAGTCGGTATACCACTGAGCTATTTTACAGGTGGAAGAAAAACGAGGCACAAAGATATTAAATAATTTACCCAAGAGGACATAGCTAAACACACATTAGCTAATAAATGAAGGAACCAGAAATCAACTCTAGACATTATGACTTTTGAGTCCATTTTTAACTACTATCCTTGCTGCCGTCTAATGAAAATTGCTACCATCCAAGTGTCTCAGTCACTCATATGACACATCTCATAAGGTTAGTGAAGCTTCAAATTGTCTGTTGTTCAGAAATTTTACTCTTTGTCAAAGGCAGGAAATAGTTTCCTCTTAATCAAATCATCCAATAAAATGAAATTTGGAATCCAACTAAAATATACTTTCAGTTTATTAGGAACAAATTTAACAGTCTTCTTTATACAGGAAAAGAGCCATTATTTGAAATCTACCTTCTATTTTATATTTGCAAACTGATTAAAACTTTACTAGTCGTTTATCTAATGAGAATTTAATGGCACCTACTCTTTTCATCTAGGGACGTAAACAAAGAATCCAAAATCAAGTTGTAGACAGTATATACTTATGAGAACAAAGTAAACATACAAGTAGCAGCTGATGAATTTTAAAGATTTTTATTATACAATTAATGGGGCGTTTGTGGTGTGTGTGTGTATATGATGTGTGTGTGTGTGTGTATATGAGTGTGTACGTGTGTGTAGCATAGACAGGAGATATCTTCTTCCCCCCCCACCCCGTTGGCCTTGGGGGAAACTACTAAGCTTCATGATTTTTAATGGTTTTTAAAAGAAGTGGGATTGTATACATATAAAGTCTTGCACATAATGAGTATTTTCTATGATTGAAGAGCTCAGAA